CCATTCTCCCCTCCTTCTCCCTCTTCCTCCCTCGCTTTCCCTTCTTCCATCACATCTCCTTCCCTTCCCTACATGCCCTGTCCACTTATGGATATGGCGAAGGCAGTTTATTACCGTTCCAATTTACATTATCCAGTCACAGGTTTTTTCTCGTGGCTCTCGGTTGGGGCATATAGGCTAGATACCCAGCTTTCCTGAGAACAACTTGCCGCTTGGATTTAAAACTTCCCATTTGCTGAAACTGCCAGGGACTATGCCTAGTTCAAATTGCTTGGATATAGGCCTACAGAGGGGTAGAATTTCCTAGAGTAGGAGAGCCTGAGAGACGTGGAGCCAGGACTCCACCTTGAAGCATGCGAAACAAAAGTATAGTCTGTGTGATCTTGGTAGTGCTTGAGAGAGGGTAATTTGGGTAATTATATGGACCGGAATAAAGGTTTTTGTCTGTTACAGTTCCCTGTACAATTTGTGGTCCATTACCATGCCTCTACTCATAAGATGTCACGAGCTTAGGGATTAATTTATTTTTGCATTATTAAATAAAGTTTTATTAATTATTCTCCTGTGTATTTTATATATTTCCCTTAATTAATTTTGAGACTTTGATCTTAAATTGCTTTGGACATCACTGTGATCTCATGACCATTTTTTTGAGTAAATATATTCCCCCTTGTAATTCATGAAAATAACTGCAAAGGGAATTCCATTCATCCAGTGAGTATTGAAAGATTAAATTTCCAAAGCACTCAGTATTAGTTGACTGGTCTCCTCCCGAGTCAATTAGCCTACTTATCAAAGTTCTAGAAAGAGTGGTGGCGGCATTATTTGTTAATGAGTAACCTGACCTTCCACCTGGGCTGTAAGAATTGCCAAGATATCTTTAACACCTTGGTCATTTCTCTCCCTTCCTTTGATAACTGGTTTGAGCATTTTCTGCTGTGAGGGTTGGACTCTTCCCAGTTCTTGGGGTTTTACCTTTTACAATTATTACAGCACACAGAGTTACAATTAAGTTATATCAACCATTTCAACGAGTTATTCATGTTCAGTGCTTTATTGCAGTTGTGTTACAATGGTAGCACCAGTGTTTGTTTCTCACGTCACAGTGTGCTACACACAGAAATCACAATAGAGTGATGCATCAAATGAACAAATTCACAAGGGCCGTGATGAGGGTTCGAACATACGTCCGAGAGGATCCCAGACGCACCTTAATTGTTAAAAAAAAATGCAACCGGAAGTGGTACTGCCCTCACACGGATCCTGTAGTCTCTCCGAGACACAAGTATCCATGGCGGTATTCCATCCAGGTCTATATCTTTTGTCACATCCAACTGTAACAAAAGCTTCTTACATCTCCACTGGTAATCTAAAATTCCTCTAGTGGTGCCTGGTTAATTATTTCTTCTCTTATCTCTGGAACTTCTCCTTGCTCTAATGTGAAGACTTCCTGGAATTTCATATTCAGTTTCTCGCAAACTTCTTTGTCGTTTGTAGTGAATCTTTCTGCCCCTATCCTCAGTTTCATCATCTGTTCCTTCACTGTTTTCTTTCTCCTGATGTGGCTGTGCAGCAATTTGGGTTGGGTCTTAGCCTTGCTTGCTATGTCGTTTTCATATTGCCCTTCTGCCTCTCTTCTCACCCTGACGTATTCATTCCTTTCTCTCTGGTAACCTTCTCTGCTCTCAAGTGTCATGTTATTTCTATAGTTTCTCCATGCCCTTTTACTTCGTTGCTTAGCTAGCTTACATCTCTGATTAAACCATGGGTTTCTCATCTGCATTTCATTTTTTACCTTTTGGGCCGGGATAAACTTTTCTGCTGCCTCCTTGCACTTCTGCTTGATGTATTCCATCATGTCTTGGGCCGTCTTTCACCTTAGCTCTGATTCCCATGTTATATCAATTAGCAACTTTCTTATCTCCTCGTAATTTTCCTTATGGAATACTAGCCTTTTGATTTCAGTTCCCTTTTCGAGTACTTGAGCCCTTCTTCGACCAGATACTCAAACGTCAGTACACTGTGATCGTACAGTACTGTACAGTACGTACAGCACACTGTGATCGCTCATTCCTACTAGAGCCTCGAAGTCAATTTCCCTTATGTTGGAGTCATTCAGAGTGAAGACTAGGTCGAGTCTCGCTGGTTCATCGTTTCCCCTCATCCTAGTGGGTTCCCTGACATGTTGGCTTAGAAAGTTTCTTGTCGCCACCTCCACTAGTTTGGCTCTCCATGTATCCTCTCCTCCGTGCGGTTCCTTGTTCTCCTAGTCTATCCTTCTGGGATTAAAGTCCCCCCATGATGAGCAGATGAGATCAATTTCTACAGGCAGCAGCCGCTGCCCTCTCAATTATGTTATTAAGTATCATGTTGTTTCTGTCATATTCTTGCCTGGGTCTTCTGTCATTTGGTGGAGGGTTATATATCACTGCTACTACTACTCTTGGTCCTTCCATTGTCATGGTGCCTGTTATGTAGTCTCTAAACCCTTCACAGCCTGGGATAATCATCTCCTTGAAACTCCATTCCTTTCTCATGAGAAGGGCCACTCTGCCTCCCCCCCTACCCTTCCTCTCTTTCTTTAATACAGTGTAACCTGGGGGAACACCGCATTTGTTATGATTCCTGACAGTTTTGTTTCTGTGATTCCAATTACATCTGGGTTTACTTCTTGTGCTCTTTCCCTAAGTTCACTCGCCTTGCTTGTAATCCCATCTATGTGTACATCACCTTGAAGCTGACTCTTTTCTGTCCATCCACAGTTTCCTACTGGGGTGTGTGTGTGTGAGAGTGTGTGTGCATTCACCTATTTTTACTCATCTATTTGTGCTTGAGCTCTGGCTCTTTGTTCCTGCCTCTCAACTGTCAATCAACTGGTTCAACTGGTGAGTGTGTGTTCTCCTAGTTGTATTCACCTAGTTGTGTTTGCAGGGGTTGAGCTTTGCTCTTTTGGCCCGCCTCTCAACTATCAATCAACTGTTTTACTAACTACTTCTTTTTTCCCCACACCACACACACACACACACTCACACACACCCCCAGGAAACAGTCCGTGACAGCTGACTAACCCCCAGGTACCTATTTACTGTTAGGTAAAAGGGGCATTTAGGGTGAAAGAAATTTGCCCATTTGTTTCTGCCTGGTGCAGGAATCGAACCTTTGCCACAGAATTACGTGTCCTGCTCGCTATCCACAAGGCTACAAGGCCCTTGTATGTGTGTGTGCGTGTGTGTGTGTGTGTGTGTGTGTGTGTGTGTGTGTGTGTGTGTGTGTGTGTGTGTGTGTGTGTGTGTGTGTGTGTGTCTAGTCACTTGTCCAAAGCTGGAAGCTAGACGCTTGTGGCTAGCTTCACCAAACTTTGCAGGGAGACTGGGGGCCGATAAAGGGGTGGGGATCTGCTCTAATCCCCCTTCTTCATACCAATATAGATTCATCCAGCATATTATTTTCTATACAATTTACAGTTCTGAGCCCCATCTATATAATCTATACACTGTCTCCTGGGGTACCCGGCGGTGATGAAGATGGTTAAAGGGATAAAGACTGTTTATTAAAGACTGTTACAGTGGTGATGGTCATGTCGAGATGATTACAGCGATGAAAATAGTGTAGTGAAGATGATCATAGTGATGACAGTTTGTGTTGAAGATGAATACAATGATGAATTAGTGCAGTGAAGATGATGGTAGTGTGTATTCAAATTGTTACAGTGATGATGGACATGTGAAGAGGCTTACAGCGATGAAGAGTGTATATAGTGAAAAGGATTAGTGTGTGTGGCGAAAATTGTTACAGTGGTGAAGATAGTGAGCAGTTAAGATGGTTGCAGTGATCAGATTGGTGTGTAGTGAAGATGGTTACAGTCAGGAAGGTCGTGAAGTGTAGGTTACAGTCAGGAAGGTCGTGAAGGGTAGGTTACAGTCAGGAAGGTCGTGAAGGGTAGGTTACAGTCAGGAAGGTCGTGAAGGGTAGGTTACAGTCAAGAAGGTCGTGAAGTGTTGGTTACAGTCAGGAAGGTCGTGAAGGGTAGGTTACAGTCAGGAAGGTCGTGAAGTGTAGGTTACAGTCAGGAAGGTCGTGAAGGGTAGGTTACAGTTAGGAAGGTCGTGAAGTGTAGGTTACAGTCAGGAAGGTCGTGAAGGGTAGGTTACAGTCAGGAAGGTCGTGAAGGGTGGGTTACAGTCAGGAAGGTCGTGAAGGGTAGGTTACAGTCAGGAAGGTCGTGAAGGGTAGGTTACAGTCAGGAAGGTCGTGAAGTGTTGGTTACAGTCAGGAAGGTCGTGAAGTGTAGGTTATAGTCAGGAAGGTCGTGAAGGGTAGGTTACAGTCAGGAAGGTCGTGAAGTGTAGGTTATAGTCAGGAAGGTCGTGAAGTGTAGGTTACAGTCAGGAAGGTCGTGAAGTGTAGGTGGTACGAATATTAGTGTTTGGAAGATATGGCTGCACAGTGTATACAAAGTGTCTCTGCCGTATGTGTACAAAGTGTATTGACTAAGCCTCTATTGTGTGTACGAAATGTCTATTGATTTTGAACGGTGACGAATGAGTGTCATAGACAAGCAAGTAGATGAGAGGACTAACCACTACACCACAGGAAGCTGTTGTTGCATATAAATTATCCAATATGATAAATTTAAAAGTTAAAAATATAATGTAGTAATGTGAGTACAAAGAAAAATATTTATTCATTATTTAAAAAACTTAGCGTATCTAAAACTTTCAACAACAACAACAACGTAGAGACGTACACGAAGACGGGACACCATTTAAACGTCAGCTTTTGTAGAAACGTATTTACGGTGTGTTCAGGTTGTTGACACTGCGAATGTATGACGTCACGAAGGTCAGCTTGGTCGGGAGTATAAAAGGCGGCGCCATACAGAGTCAGGCACCATTGCTCGACCAGCGCCACAATAAGCAACATGATGTCAGCCAAGGCGAGTATATGCCAACTGGTTCTCCTTAAATAGCTTTTACTTTTCTTTCCCAAATGTCTTTCAGTTCTTGCACTTCCAGAGTCATTAAGTCTCAAAGATCATTACTTTCTGTCTTCAGTTAACATGTCAAAAGAGGTCTTTCTAACTGCACTTTCTAACATGATCTAGTGATTAAATCATTATTACAGAATAAGCACATTTAATAAAGTCACTAACAAGCAAAGTGTATCAGGAATGTACAGCCAGGGAGAACTTGAGTGTTCTCAAACCAGTTATTTGTTGCTTGGATTCCTTTTGATATCTTGAGAAAGACTGAACATGGTGACATGGTATCAGCAACACTTACTAATGTTATTAAAACTAAGGTTTTCTTCGTCATTGAACAGTATAGCCTAATAGGAACTTTTCGTTCGTTTTGTTTTTATGTTCATAATACCTGGTTTTTGTCTCCTTGATCGACTACTATGAACCATATCTGAGTATTTATCTATACATGCATGTCCACTCTTCATCCCCTCCACCCGCTCCTCCTTCATGTGCACTCATTCTTCTATTTTCTCAAAATATAGTAACACAACTCTAATTTATTTTTCTTGTGACCTAGATCTGCATGGCGGCAGCCATAGTGGCTGTGGTTTGTGCTGAACCCCCACCACCCTACGGGCCTCCTACACCCCCACCCTACGGGCCCCCGACACCCCCACCCTACAGGCCCAAGACACCACCACCCTACAGGCCCCCTACACCCCCATCATACGGGCCCCCAGCTCCAATACGCTACGGGCCAACCCCATCCTACAACGAGCCCGGCATGCCCTTCGACTTCGCCTACGCCGTTAGGGATGACTACTCCGGTAACGACTTCGCGCACGACGAGAAGAGCGACGGGAAACTCACATCTGGCTCCTACAGGGTGCTTCTCCCCGACGGACGCACTCAGATCGTCACCTTCCATGCTGACGACAACGGCTACGTCGCTGACGTCACTTACCAGGGAGATGCCACCTATCCACCCCCATCCTACGGACCATCACCCCCATCCTACGGACCATCACCCCCATCCTACGGACCATCACCCCCATCCTACAGTCCCCCACCACCAACCTATCGTCCAAAACCATCTCCCACCTACGGACCGAAACCACCTCCTACTTATAGCCCTTATGTCTAAGCTGGAGGACTATCACATAACTTATTCAATTACTATACACATGAGTATCCCAATTAACATATGTTTGTACCCAGGCTGGGTAAATTCTAGCTTACACTTAATACATCTTAAATTGCCCGGTACATTTACTGTATTACATGACAACTATGTGTGAGGCCGTAGCCATTAATATTTCAAATTATAATAAATATTTTGCAAATAACGATAAGAATATTTTTAAGATTGTACTTTTGTTAAAATGTTAGCAGAAGTCTATATATACCCTCTGACGATCCTAAGTAATTATCAAAAGAAGGCACCAAGCCTAGGAGACTATGTAGCTGCATCAAATGTGCGGGATATTCAAGAGGCGCTAAATATCACTAAGGATACGAGAGCAAGAATATATACCCCTCAAGGCGACCCTCGCTGAAGCATTTACACTTCTTGACGATCATCCGTATGCGTTAGTGCTTCTTATCAATCCTAGCTGAAACGTATAGAAGCTCGTGCTCCTTTAATTCAGTCCTTGGAACCTCTTGAGTTTATAATAATTATAAATATATTCTTTACTCTTTATTCGCATAGGTTATTATTTTACCTGAATTTACCTTAGGGGGCACTAACCCTCTAGTGGCCTCGAGGAGGACAGGAACCCCGAGGTCTTCCTGAATACTACATATATTCTTGGTCGAAATATATGTAGTAGACATAATAGAGGAAAATTAGATTGGTTAGAAAAGCGGGGTCCAAGAGCTAATAGCTCAATTCTGCAGACAACCCCAATCACTGGGGCTGGACGATAGAGCAACGGTCTAGCTTTATGCAGGTTGGCGTTCAATCCCCGTCCGTCCAAGTGGGTGGGCACCATTCCTTCCCCCATGTCCCTTCCCAAATCCTTATCCTGATCCCTTCCAAGAGCTGTATAGTTGTGTCGGCTTCGCGCTTTACCCTGATAATTCATTTCCCAACCACAGACGTGGCCACACATTTACAATGCTAACCAGCAGACATACATTTTCTTCTGCTCTCCATGGACAGGGTTAGAGATCTGTTGAATTGACGGTCGGTCGGCCGGTCGGCCGAGCGGACAGCACGCTGGACTTGTGATCCTGTGGTCCCGGGTTTGATCCCAGGCGCCGGCGAGAAACAATGGGCAGAGTTTCTATCACCCTATGCCCCTGTTACCTAGCAGTAAAATTGGTACCTGGGTGTTAGTCAGTTGTCACGGGCTGCTTCCTGGGGGTGGAGGCCTGGTCGAGGACCGGGCCGCGGGGACACTAAAGCCCCGAAATCATCTCAAGATAACCTCAAGATAACGGTAGACAAAGATAAACTGATAAGCACGGGTGGGACGCGAACAAGGGGACACAGGTGGAAACTTAGTACTCAAATGAGCCACAGGGACGTTAGAAAAACCTTTTTCAGTATCAGAGAAGTTAACAGATAGAATGCATTAGGCAGTGCACAGTTTCAAATGTAAATATGATAGAGCCCAGTACACTCAGGAATCTGTACATCTGTTGATTGACAGTTGAGAGGCGGGACCAAAGAGCCAAAGCTCAACCCCCGCAAGCACAACTATGTAACAAACTAGGCTGTTGTAAGAATTATCCAGAGTGGTTTATCGACAAAAGAGAATGGGAAGCTGAGCCGCATGGTGACCTGACCCCCAGGGGAATTCGCGGTGGAAATAACCGACGCTTTGTTCAAAGCTGCGTATAATGAATCATCCTATAGTATTCAGTAATTTAGAGAAAATTAGCCTTTATTCATTTTGCATTAAAATTGTATTGTATAATAGTACTGGATACAATATCAAGAGTATTCTAATTATTGAGTTTAAGTCACCATCAGTGACGTCACGAATCAGATCTAACTTTTAAGGCGGAGTGACCGGCGGTCATAGGTCAGCAGGGTTGACATGTCTAATATTTCTCAAAGTTTTAATAACCATTTTTGTGATCGGGAACAGCTTTGCCGTTAGATGTTTGTGTAATCTAATTAAAGTAAAATAATTCAACCAGTCTGGATCAATTCAGTATAAACAGAGGATAATTGTTATAACTTAACCATGCTAAAGTAACTGGGTAAGCGAGGCGGAAGGATACAATACTCTGTCTGGGGTAGTCCAGACAAGAAAAAAATCAGTGTGAATACGGGAGCAGCTGGGAGAGGTCAACCATCTTACCTCTCCCCAAGACCAGCACAACAGCTAGAGCTGGTCGCCCAAGGTATAGTTGCTATTGCTAATTATAGGGATAGTCTTCTCATTTGCCATTCAGGTCAAGTAGGGAGTGTTAAAGTGATAGGGAGTGAACATATTTAGATTTTGTTTTAGTTTTCTTTTAATAAATTAAATTTGTTATTAATTTGCATTTTATTGTTTCCATGTGTTTTATGTGTATACTTGTCCTGGTCACGTGGTCCACACGAGGCAGAGTTGCATTGGGCGCCGATTCTAACATCGAATCGGAATTATCATTCCCGTGTAATTAATTCCACACTCAAGTTTCCGAGGTTATAAACTACTAGTGGGGATCAAGCCCCAAGGTTGATTAATTAGCGTGATCGATCCAGACCTCGATCATTGCTCTGTGTTACTGGTCTGGTGGTGGCAGCAGAGGCGACTCTAGGGTTTTGCTCAACGCCTAGGTCACGTCATACTGGGTGTAGAATCCTAAGTCGGTCAATCGTCTTAGGACCACGTGGCGTGGAGTTGGCGTTGTTAAAAGTTTTGGAGTCCCTTGGTAGAGAATAAAAAGTAAGAATACGGGTAGAGGGTAAAGAAGAGAGAAGAAGAGAGAGAGGAACCTTAACCCGTGTTACAACTAGGTGAGCACACACACACACACACACACACACACACACACACACACACACACACACACACACACACACACACGCTGATGGGGCCTCGTAGCCTGGTGGATAGCGCGCAGGACTCGTAATTCTGTGGCGCGGGTTCGATTCCCGCACGAGGCAGAAACAAATGGGCAAAGTTTCTTTCACCCTAAGTGCCCCTGTTACCTAGCAGTAAATAGGTACCTGGGAGTTAGTCAGCTGTCACGGGCTGCTTCCTGGGGTGTGTGTGGTGTGGAAAAAAAAAAAGTAGTTAGTAAACAGTTGATTGACAGTTGAGAGGCGGGCCGAAAGAGCAAAGCTCAACCCCCGCAAAACACAACTAGTAAACACAACTAGTAAACACACACACACACACACACACACACACACACACACACACACACAAATCGCCAACATGGGTTCAGGGAGGGTAAATCTTGCCTTACAGGCTTGATAGAATTCTACGTTCAGGTGACAAAGATTAAGCAAGAAAGAGAGGGCTGGGCGGACTGCATTTTCTTGAATTGTCGGAAAGCCTTTGACACAGTACCTCATAAGAGGCTGGTACATAAGCTGGAGAGACAGGCAGGTGTAGCTGGTAAGGTGCTCCAGTGGATAAGGGAGTATCTAAGCAATAGGAAGCAGAGAGTTACGGTGAGGGGTGAGACCTCCGATTGGCGTGAAGTCACCAGTGGAGTCCCACAGGGCTCTGTACTCGGTCCTATCTTGTTTCTGATACATGTAAATGATCTCCCGGAGGGTATCGATTCATTTCTCTCAATGTTTGCGGACGATGCTAAAATTATGAGAAGGATTAAAACAGAAGAGGACTGTTTGAGGCTTCAAGAAGACCTAGACAAGCTGAAGGAATGGTCGAACAAATGGTTGTTAGAGTTTAACCCAACCAAATGTAATGTAATGAAGATAGGTGTAGGGAGCAGGAGGCCAGATACAAGGTATCATCTGGGAGAGGAAATTCTTCAGGAGTCAGAGAAGGAAAAAGACTTGGGGGTTGATATCACGCCAGACCTGTCTCCTGCAGCACATATCAAGCGGATAACATCAGCGGCATATGCCAGGCTGGCCAACATACGAACGGCATTCAGAAACTTGTGTAAAGAATCATTCAGAACTTTGTATACCACATATGTCAGGCCAATCCTGGAGTATGCAGCCCCAGCATGGAGTCCATATCTAGTCAAGGATAAGACTAAACTGGAAAAGGTTCAAAGGTTTGCCACCAGACTAGTACCCGAGCTGAGAGGTATGAGCTACGAGGAGAGACTACGGGAATTAAACCTCACTTCGCTGGAAGACAGAAGAGTTAGGGGGGACATGATCACCACATTCAAGATTCTGAAGGGGATTGATAGGGTAGATAAAGACAGTCTATTTAACACAAGGGGAACACGCACAAGGGGACACAGGTGGAAACTGAGTGCCCAAATGAGCCACAGAGATATTAGAAAGAACTTTTTTAGTGTCAGAGTGGTTGACAAATGGAATGCATTAGGGGGTGATGTGGTGGAGGCTCACTCCATACACAGTTTCAAGTGTAGATATGACAGAGCCCGATAGGCTCAGGAATCTGTACACCTGTTGATTGACGGTTGAGAGGCGGGACCAAAGAGCCAGAGCTCAACCCCCGCAAACACAACTAGGTGAGTACAACTAGGTGAGTACACAAGAGCCAAAGCTCAACCCCCGCAAGCACAAATAGGTGAGTGAGTACACACACACACACACACACACACACACACACACACACACACACACACACACACACACACACACACACGCACGTACGCACACACGCGCACACGCACACACACTCTGGCTTTTGAAGGAGCTAAAGAGTTACGATAAGGGGCGAGAAGTCGGACTGACGAACAGTGACGAATGAATTAGCTCAAGGACGGTGCTGAGACGAATTCTATTTCTAGTATATGTTAACGACATGTTTACAGGCGTAGAGTCCTACATGTCGATGTTCGCAGATGACGCAAAGTTGACGAGAAGAGTTGTGACAGATGAGGATTGCAGGATCCTCCAAGAGGACCCGAACAGGTTGCAGAGATGGTTATCTTGAGATGATTTCGGGGCTTTAGTGTCCCCGCGGCCCGGTCCTCGACCAGGCCTCCACCCCCAAGAAGCAGCCCGTGACAGCTGACTAACGCTCAGGTACCTATTTTACTGCTAGGTAACAGGGGCATAGGGTGAAAGAAACTCTGCCCATTGTTTCTCGCCGGCGCCCGGGATCGAACCCGAGACCACAGGATCACAAGTACAGTGTGCTGTCCGCTCGGCAGACCGGCTCCCATAACAAGGTATAATGGTCAGAGAAATGGCTACTGGAGTTCAACACAGGCAAATGTAAAGTTATGGAAATGGGACTAGGAGATAGGAGACCAAAGGGACAGTACACAATGAAGGGGAACAGCCTACCTGTGACGACACGAGACAGAGACCTGGGGGTGAACCTAACACCTAATCTATCTCCTGAGGCACATATAAATAGGATAACGACAGCAGC